AGTTGGAAAATACATTAAACAAACTTCAAGAAGAAAATAATGCTTCCCTTATTTAATATCCAAGATAGACTAAAATATTTTATTCTGAGATTTCCACCGTTAGTGTATGATGATTGTTTTTTTTCCCCCCGTGAAAAGTGAGTGATGATTCTACATAGCAATTAGAATTAAAAATTATGGTTAATATTAAATATACAGTGGAAGTGAGGATGAAGTTGGACCACTCATTGTCTTGGTTTGGGTCCAATCATACAAAACCGACCAAAACGAGTGGGTTTATCTTATCCTTGATTCCGATTTCCGAAAGGGTCAAAGCATTTTCAGTTTCAAACTTTTCGGTTAGCAATTAGTAAACGTCTTGTGAGAACATTTTACATTTGTTATTTGATGTGATGGTGTGAAAATGCTCCTCTTGATTGAGATCGCTGCATACTCCCACGTACTATGACAAATAATTAGTAACTTCACGAAAGAATCTTCTAAGTATTTAATAAAATAAAAAAGTTGAAATCAATTTGTCCCTTAATCTTTGGCTAGGAGCATTTGTAATTATAAACTCATTTTTTTATACATTTTAATTCTAAATATTTAAAATTGTACCAATCTCCTCTACAACTAACTTTAACCATTAATTAATTAAAAAAATTTAAAATTATAAATTTTATACTTTTGTATTTTTTTTAAATTTTTGGGTCTTTTTCTATAATTCTTTTAATTATTTCAATAATTTTTTACTTTTTTAAAGTTTTCTAGTCAATTAACAACTTAATAACAAGGAAAGATTGTCATGATTTTAAACATTTACAAGTGAAAAATATAAAAAAAAAAAGAGTTCAAAATTTCAAATACTTCTAAGCCTACATTTAAAAGCTGAATTGCTATTTTGAAAAATTAGGCCGTGGGAGAGAGGGAGACACCCACCAGAGAGAACCTTTTATAATATCAACTATGCCATTTAATAAAAATTAGGTTGATTTAGATTATTCAAATTTTATTATTTTTAGATTTTTCTTATCAAATTTATATTTAAAATAATAACAGACTTTTAGCCGTTAACTTATCAAATAATCATGATACAAATAAAAAATAAATAGGATCTCACATTAAATTTGAATGACTAAAATGAAAAGCAGACAAATGTTCAAACATGCGTGGCCGAACTACAAACTAGATTACGCTGATATGATTAAAGTGCACATCTCGTCTGCGAAATCAAGTTCAATGTGAATGTAATATCAAAATCATCTCAACTTTATCGCAACGACGTAGACCAAACAACAGGAACAAAAGTGGCCGAAAGGGAGATGCATCTTCTACACAACTAAAAGTAAAACACGCGTGTAGAACAAAAATTGCAGGCACATCTATCCGTTATGAAAGATATAATACAAAAGACCTAAAAACTACAAAAAGATCACAAGGAAAACTCAGAAAAATTGGAACCAGACAGGGTTATTTACATTTATTCACAGCTCGGAATGTTCCACCATCTTTTAACCATATGGTGGACCGGGTTTTCTTCACATTGTCTGCAAAAAGACGATGCCTGCAACACACAAAAATGCTCATCACTATAACCCCACCAACCATATCTTCTAGTACGCTACCCTATTTCAATGCCATTGCAAAAACTGAAAACTCAGGTACACTATTTGTGTTTGTCATGAAGTCTTCTAATAAGACCATGAAGAAAACGGGTCAATTAAAGCCATTATCTAGGGATATAATTACATGAGATCACAGAAGAATAATTTACTTTGAAGAGACAAGTATGGCAAAAAAAAAAAAATGAAGACCAGAAGTCTATTGTCTATTCAAGGTAATGAAGATATCATTAGTGAGAGAAGAGAGAAAGAAAATCTAACCTTTCATACTCCAGCTTCTGAGTAACTATGCCATTTAATAATAGCTCTGAACTGTATATAGCTGTCCCTGCAGGTTATAAACATGGTGTCCTTTAGTAATGTGAACGTGATAAAACTTAAAGATGGGTGAGAGAAAATCCAAACCTTTTTCAAGAAAAGGCACGCATAAGGCATAATCATCTTCACATGAAAGGATCAGTAGATCATCCTGAATCTTATCATGTTGCAACGAAGATCTGCCAATTCTCTCTACAGCCTGAGGGCATGTTTACTAGTAATCAGCTTTTCAGAATCAATTATAAAAAATATATGCTGGGATGAATTACGCCAAATGGAGGTAACATGAGAAAATAACTTATTTCCACCACATGCACATAAAATACATTTTGGGGCTGAAAAAATTCAAAGAATTCTCCCTTTCATTTCCTTTTTAGGATTAAAGGTCATTTTTACCTCTCAACTTTATTTGAAAAGTGACTGGACACCTTAAACTCAATTATGGGTCAATTCTGTCTCTTAACATTAAAAATTCCCTCCCTCATCACCCCACTGTTAACTTGCCATTTTATTTACTGTTAGTAGGCCCCGCAATGCATTGTTTTTAATTTTTTTTATTATAAAATATTAGGTTAATCAAGGAAGCCACAAAAAATGAATCTGCTAATGAAGGTTGCAGATTTGGCTAGGAGGAAGAACCTATAATATTTTACTTGGCTATATTATATGTGCCAATTGCCATTTAGCTAATAAGGCGGTGGATACCAAGGTTCCACAAGCAGTACTTCCTAATACTGTATTTGAAGTAGTTGTTCGAATTCCTTATGATATGCAAGTGAAACAACTTCTTGCTAATGGGAAAAAGGGGTCCTTGGGGTGATCTCATAGTCCCTAAGATGTGGAGACGATGGGGTAGATCCATGGATTTTCTTTCCCTTTGCTACATTATGCTCAAAGGGTTAAAGGGAGATAGTGCATTAAGCTATTCGCAAGGGCCAACTTGATTCTCTTCCCTAGGGATCCCAGATGAGGAAGTTTTGTTGTACAACCTATTTGGATTTCTTATCTCGAAACGTCAGTGAGCACCATGAACTCAAATATTTTATAATAAGAAAATATTTAAAAAATGTAATGTGAGGCCCACTAATGGTGAATGGACAATAAGTTAGCGACAGGGTGACGAGAAAAAGAATATTTAACGTTGACGGCTAGAATTAACCCATAGTTGAGTTTAAGGTACTTAGTGACTTCCAACAAAATTGAGGGGCAAAAATGACCTTTAACCTCCCTTTTTTTTGTTGGGGGAGCCCCCAATTTCAGGATCAAAAATCATTAATCCACTCGAGATTGATTGAAAAAACTTTTCCATTTTGAGATATCCATCATACGAGAGCATATACGAGGAAATGTACAGAAGAGGGTTGCATACCTGGCCATGAACTGCCTTGACTAAATATGAAACAATCTCTTTACTAGGTTTAGTATTGGGGGTGATCAAAACTTTGCGACCCTATACACAGAATCATTCTTGATCATAAGCCAGATAGAAAATGAATGAGTTTGGGTTCACACAAAACACAAGTATATATATACCGCTAAAAGTGGATGTCGGGTTGCATGTGCCAATGATGCTGGCATACAGAAGCCAAACTCCTTTTCCTTTTTGGCATCCCTCAATATGTAATTTTTCTCATCAATTAAACAATTAGTTTGTCCACAGCTCTCAATCCATAAATGGGTAACCACTGGTTTGCCAGAAGCAATAGCTTCTAGCATATTCCTTGTACGCACAAATTTATCAGCAATGAAATGAGTTGCATCTAGAATGGAAGTTACCACAGAGACTCCAAGTCGTGCTAAAATCTGTAAAAGGGTCAACAATCAAGATATAAATAAAATCAGATTTTGGCTTGTCAACATCTGCTCATGAGATTTTAAGAAAAATCTGACATTACCTTCTTTTGATGCTTAATTATATCTTCATTCAAGTGTTGACTGTACAGAATTCGGACATTGGTGATATCCCTCCTCTTCCTTGAATCTTTAGATGGTGTAAATTCAAGTCCCGTAGCACTTAAGCTGCAGAGTTCTCTACGGAGTTCCCTATTGCATGACTGTTTGTAATAATTATCACCCATACAAACAGGTGATGCATCATTTACTGGAGTTCTACATTTATCTGGTGTTGTAGATGTCAAGTCAGATGACTTAAAACTCCCTCTTGGTGAATCATCTGCCCTCATTTTTCTCTTCCTTGCAGCTGACAGCCCAACATCTTCAGACTGCACAGACAAATTAGATGAACCAACCAATCTCTCCAATCCTTTGTCATGATTAGACAACTTCCTAAGAGATCTTCTCCTTGGATGGTCCAAGGTATCTCTTTTAGTGTCGTTATTAACAGCACTCAAACTCGTATTTTCATTGTCTTCAGAGTGATCAGAACAACTTGGTTTAAACTTGGGATCTAATGTCTTAGATGCCTGGAAGCCAGCACTACTATTTTTTCCCTCAAGGGAGTCAATCCTTCCATCCTCTTCTATATGACTTCTTGATGGTCTATCAGGCTTCAGTTGATTTGCAATCAAGGATCGTCTAGTTCTACGAGCGACCGGTGAAAAATGACAAGCTTGACTCTGAAAATGCCTTTTGCTGACCAAGCTTCCTCCGTTTTCTTCCTTACTGCCAGTGCAATCATGTAATTCATTACCCTTGTGTCTTTTTGAAGCCGTTGCTGACTTTCTTTGCCCAACAAGCTGAGAAGGAAATTTACTACGATTTTCACTAGCACCAGAGATTAGGTTGCCTTCCACATTTAACGTACTTCTCTTTGATCTTTTCATCAAATTGTTCCTTTTGCATTGCTTTCTGGCTTCTTCATTATGTGCTTTTAATAAATCTGATTTAACACATTTCTGAATCCCAACATTTTTTTCTGAACATTTCTTTGAAGCAATTGCCCTCATTGTACTTGGAAAAGTGTTATTGGGTTGATCTGCTAGATTACTTCCTGTGGCTTTATCAGTAACATGATTATCACTGCCCTCACAATTACCTAAGGCTTCCATTGCTTCAGCAGCCATTTGAGTATCTAAACCTACCTCTAACACTTCCTGTGCATCTGCTGCTGTAGCATTAGGCTCCAACTGTGCTCCTGAGTAATTGATGTTAAACAGTTCATCCAGGTCACCAATAAGATTCTTTTTGATTCTTTAACTGCATCTTTGACAGTGTCATCCCTCACTTTAAGATTATGCAATATCAGTCTTGAATCAGATCGTACTTCCCTCATTCTTTTACTACAGGTACTTTGTCCCTCATCATCGTTGCCATCTGGTCTGCTAACTTCAATTTTCTTGATTGCTGGCAAGGATTTTCGCCTTGGCATTGCACCCTCCAAAAACTCATCCTTTCTCCTAAGAAATATATCTCCCCCACCATCATCCTCACGGCTGTCATCCCAGTCATAAACCCCAGTTTTTCCAGTAGTGCCACTACCATTGACTCTCTTGGCCAAACTTTGTTGCCCTTTTAAACTGGGAAGATTTTTTGAGCTTTCCTGAACATTCTTAATGAAGTTAGATTCTTGATCAAACTCCAGAACATCATTTTCTTTAAGTAACTTATCAACAACATCAAGAGCAGCTGCCTGTGTTAACTCTCCAGGTTCTTGAGAGTTAACATAGCTTAGTCCAGCCAACTCATCATCATAAATAGACAGCTTAGTCAAGCTTTCTTCTCCATTGACATCATTGTCATTATACGGACATACTTCCTTTTCAGCAGACAAATCATCATTGAATAGCTTTCTCACTACTGAGCTGGCAATTTTGGACTTATCTTTATGAAATACTCCATTTGCTTCACCTCTGTGTTCCCCATGATCATATTCCCTGGTTTTCTCTGTGTATCCAAGGAAAGGTTCCTCATTATTCTTTGCAGAAAGTGATTTCTGGGATTGACTCATACCCATGACAGCATTGGTCCCATCCTTGCTTTGTTTCAAATTCATAATGCGAGCAGCTTCACGCAAAGATTCAACACGGACAGAAGTAAACCGTGGAGGCATTGAACCTAAGAACCATGGAATAAAATTTTACAAAAAACAAATAGAAAGAGTGCGGAGAAGAAAAAATAAGTATATTTGTGTGATTGTTTTGAAGAATTATGGACTAGTTTATGAAATTATTCCAACCTCAATTTTTGCTTCATCCTCTAGGGAAAATGAAGATAACCACACATCAGTCAAGCATAAAAACCATTAGAAAATGATCAACAGGGATAATACTCTCCCATGAAAACAGTAAGAAACAAATGAAGAATAGAGATAACACAATCATCAAGTCAGTTGTAACTTGATAAAAATGAATAAGAAAATATGACCACTTCTCTTCCTCCTTTCCTTTTTGCAAAATGCTATTGGTGCACCACTACATTCATAGGATTGAACCCCCAAACTAAAATCCATAACAAAAAAAGTAGAATTCGTCTCAGGATTTAACATAAACACTATTTTAGGCTCAAATTACATGCAGCCAAACAGCTAATGAAGGAATCACCTGAACTGATCTGTTGATTGATTACAGAATCAGTCTTCTCCAATAGTTTCTTCTCACCAGGTCTACTAAGAGGTTCACATGAAATCTGCCTGGGATCTGCTGATTGCGCCCCAACTATGCATTGACAATGATCAGAATAGGGTTCATTCACATTCTCCAAAATGTCAATTCCATCTGTTCTGTCAGTATGACTGTCAATGGCAACTTCTTGATCAATCATATCCAATAACTGGGCGTTATTATCCTCCCCACCATGAATATCATCCAAAACTTGTGTTTCACCAGCAATACTCAAGACTTGAGTCTCACCAGCAAGATTTACAGGCTGGGTTTCAAATGCATCATAATCAACTGGAGCGTCATCATCCAAAGGAACTATGTTTTCAAGATACTGCCAATCGTTATCCATCCCAATATCATCTTTTCCACCTAACATTTCAATAGTTAAACAAACCCGTTAAGAAATTAGTCGAATTTGACAAAACTACAAACTTCTCTCAATCATTAATCAGTGAGTCGTGACACGGCATTACAGCAAAAATGAGACACATTGGAACAGACAGACACTGAGGAGCTTGACATGAAACAATCAAATCATTAGAAGGCCTCAAAACCGTGATAAAAAACAACCAATACCACTACGTCTTAAGTAAAGGAACCATTTCATCAGGAAAAGAACACAACTTCAATAGAACCCCAACCATAGAATGGAAGATTATAGATAAAGTGAAAGACTGAAGACTGGAAATTGGAAAACACTCACCGGAGAACGAAGACGGCGATAATTGACTGTCAAGAGGCACAGTATCATCAAAATTAACATCTACAACTTCATCCATGTCGATTGACGTGGTTATACTATCAGTATCACCACTGCCACAAGAACCCATTCAGATTTATTGGCGGATAAATGCACGCATGTGACAGCAGTAACCCTAACAAAGAAGTGAACCTTGTTCAAGTGAATGATCTCAAAAGCACATAATCAAGAATCTGAGATGACAGAGGAGTTAGGGTAATCCAGGACAGCGCAGAAGGCACAGAATGATCGTGGCGAGGCGAGAGGGCGCGTGGACTTCGGAGCCAAAACGTGGGTTACCTGCCACACCCGGTGCCTCTTTTTTGGAGGGAAAATTGATGCTTCCGTCACTAGTTTCGTACGAAATTCTACCACAAATTCATTATTAAAAAAAAAAAAAAAAACTATAACACATCACATGTATATATGAATGCTCCTATGCTGTACTCACGACTTTTATTGGATACTTCCTTTTTTGTTTTAACTATAATTATTAATATTAATTAGCTGACGATTAGAATAAGTTCTGCCTTCGACGACTGTTGATTTCCTGCATTAGCATTTTATAACTTAATTAGAATGAAAAAATTAAAAGCACATTTAGAAGAAAAAATTAAAGAATGGAGGGGGCATTCCGAGAATCGAACTCGGGACCTCTCGCACCCAAAGCGAGAATCATACCACTAGACCAAATGCCCACTCTGACACGTTTTCGAAGACATTTAATTCTACACTGTACCAAAAACTGTACATTTCTTTTTTCATTGAATAATAAATAAAAATACTCATTCGTCTCTTAAATGTGAAAATGATCCGATTTTAAAGGTTCTCCTGCGATCTGTCAAAATATGAATATCAAGCTCAGCAATATGTTAATTTTCTTTGGGCCAGAACAATGTTAATTCAGAATTTAATTTAATGCTATTAAACAACTAAATAACATATTTAATGATACATTATTAAAATTTATTTTATATGAATTGCGAAGCAAACGATTAAAATGACATTTCAGGAAAAAACAAATAATTATTCTAAAAATGAAGAGATCAAATTAAAATTTTAGAAGGATATTATATATTAATTATTTTTATATTACTTTTATGCATCATATAAATATAAATTATTCTCTTGTAGAACTCCATAGTATCACAACCTTTTTTCACGTTCAACAGACTAAAAATGTAATTTTGAGCAGGAAAAAACGGTAATTCATGGTTGTATAATAATTCAACTGCATTAATAATAATTAAGTGGAAGAAATTTTATGGCCCATTTGTTGAATACTAAAAAATAAGTAATTTTTAGGTAGTTTAAAAATTTTATAAAAAAATATTTATTTTATAAAGATTTTATAAAAAGCAGGTATTGTCTTATATTTAGTTGTAATGATAAAAAATTAATTATTAATTAGTTATTTTAAATTTTATAATACCTTTCTTAAATTTTATTTTATAAAATAATTTATTATTATATTATTTTAAAATTTTATGATATCTTCACATATCCCACCTTTTTAAAACACTTTATTTCATCTACCACCTTAAATTATTTTGAAAGTTACTCAAAATAGTTTTTTAAAATAATCAAAAAAATTTTCAAACTCTAATTATTTTCAAAATTTTAAACAAACAGTATAAAAACTCACAAAATAAATATTTTAAAAAAATAAGTAATTTTTTTATTAAATAAGTTAAAACAAACGGGCCCTTAGTATCTCTTAGATAAGATTAATGTTTGGATTATGAATAGACGAGATCATGTTAGAAAAATTACTCCCCTTTAAATCAGCCCACTAGTGTGATATCATATGTTAAAATCATGTTAGAAAGATTACACTAGTGTGATACCATATGGTTTTACTATAAGAAAAACAAAAAAACAAAAAAATTCTACTGCCTTCAAAAGGTGAAATTTCACCATCTTGGTGGAATGTCACGCAAACAATACACATAGAATGTAATGAATTCTTTGATTCTTAATATAAAACACTTGATAAATTATTAATCATACTTTTTAATATTACCCTTATTAAAATTATTAATTATGAGAGAGAATTTGAAATAAATCTGAAAATTTTTCATTTAATAAGAAAAAAATTGAAAGCTTATTTTATTTTCAAACAAAATTAATAATTTAACCATCTCTTCAGCTCTCATTTGTTCGGTGAAGCAATTAGATATGCTTTATAATAAAAAATAGGAGAGGAATGTTGTTAATCTCTACTGCTGCAGACAACTTAAATTTTGATGTATTTGCCAGCCATGTGTAAGTTGATGCAGTTGTATTTGTCCTCAAATAACAAATATGTAATACTGACATTTACATGCTTATGTTGGATAATTATCCAAGACAAAGTGTCTTCCTGAATAATAGGATGACAAAGATAATGTCATTTTGATTATTATCTAATGTCGCTACACACACCACTAATAATCTCATTTTACTCTTAGGTCATGTTTGGTACAATGAAATGAGGGGCAATGGAATGGGAATGGGAGTAGAAATGGCTCATCATTTTGTTTGGTGCATGAAAAAGTCCATTCCAATGGAGTGACCTATTACCTCATTTGAGATAATTTCCATTTCATTAATAGACCATGGGGATGAGTCCATTCCCAGGGGATGGATTTTTTTCAATACAAAATTTCCCAGTTTAAAATTTATATTGACACCAAATGTCCTTCTCCTCTCTTCTTTTCATCGCGATCTGAACTTCTTCACCACCTTCTTTATTGATGGTGTGAATGACTCGCCTCAACAAATGCAAATCGATGGCCTGAATACATCAATGGCGAACTGCTTGCCTCCTCACCATCGTACCCATTCATTAACAAACCTCCTCACATGTGCTTGGTTGCTCAATTGCTGTCGAATTTGCTCGCCTCCTTGCCTTCACATCTACTCGTTTGCTTGACGTCGAATCTTCTTGCTTGCTGCCGTTGCATCTGGTTTGAGATTGTTGATGATAAATGAACAATGCTACCAAGGTTTGGTTTTTTTCTAACTGAGAATGCTTTTGATTCAATTGTTTTATCTGGGTTTTGTTCTTCCTGCAATTCTGAAATAAATTAGATCTACCATGGGGCTGCTGTTACATCATCCAAATTTTGTGCTTGGTTTATCCTATGGAAGCTTGTCTTTATCCATTTCCGTGATGCTCCCTCTCTTGTCTTTGGTCAAAGTATTTAACTGGTAGCTCATGGATCGGGTTGTTGATAACTACACCCCACTTGCCAAAGCTTTGTTTTTCTTTTTGTTTCTCTGATATTGAATTCTTGAGTGTTGGTGAAAGTTTGATATGATTTGCAAGATTGTTGGTGAAGGCTTGGATTCTGAAAATTGTCACAATGATTTTTGAAAGTTGATAGATAGTTTGCCAGCATAATTATTCAACTACCCAGATGGTAGTTTAGTTTTAGTTTTTTTCCCCCCTAATTTTTTTGTTGGCAAGAGTAGTCTAGTTTTTTGTCATTATAATTACATGTGTTAAATATAAGTTATACTACCATTCCATTGTTTTAAAAAATCATTGCTATTCTCATTTCAATTCCTATTACCATTCTCATTCCTGTTCTACTCAAAATCATTCCAATGTACCAAATGAGGCATTGAGGCTTTCACATGTTTGCTATAAATCAGACACCAATGTTTAAGATTGCTTAGTACTACTTACATGGGAATGCTAAAACCCACCATGACAAACATCATTTTAAAACTTAATCTCACTATTAATACCATGCCCACTCCCATTCATAATCCTTTAAAATTCAATAACCTAGGCATTATTTACACTAGGGTTGCGTTTGGATAGATGAATATGGATTAAAAATTTAGATGTGAAATCTTACATTTGATATTCATAAATTCTAAATCTTTTGTTTGGATGATATAAAAAATTTCAAATTACAATATTTAAATCTTTGTTTTAATTTCAAATAAAATTTTAAATTTCAAATTATATATTTAAATTTCAAGGCAACTCAAACGATGTCACTGATCTAGTTCAGCCCCGGTTGATAACGACATCCAGCCCTGATCATGGCTAGACATTTGGTCTTGATCAATGGCGGTGATCTAATCCCTATCAAAGACAGTGGTTTGATCTCAATTGTGGTTGTCCGTGCAATCCTAGTTAAAGTCAACCATCTAATCCTGACTAGTGCCTATGGTCTAGTCCTTGTTAGCATTGGTCGTCAGGTCCCAACCGATGTTGGTAGTCCGGTCCTGATTAACAACAGCATGTAGGTCTCGATTGATGCCAGCATTCCGATTCTAATTGACGCTAGTAGTCCAATCTCAAGGGATGTCAACTGAAGGTAACAATGTCGAAGTCAAGAAGATAATGAAGTCGATGAATGAACATGAAGGAAGAGAGAAGGTTCTATTGAAATTTGAAATAATAGGAGTTTAAAAAAAAATTAAAATCTCAAAAGGATTGAGGTAGCATTTTGAATTGTCCAAATCCACATTGATTCAAATCCACATATTTTTAATTATCTAAATAATGAATTTGCCTTAAATTTAAATCCAAATTTACATGCATCCAAATATAGCATAGTATTATTCTCAAGGCAGCTCTCAATTGCCATGCCAACCGCAAGTGTCTTAAGCAGCATGAAAATCCTTTCCTATACTATAACATGGACATGCAAATCCTAAAGAGCATGAAATAACGATGTAACTTCAAATTCACACGGCAAAACAGGATTGGGACGGGTGCAGAAACTAAAAAGGCAGCAAAGATCCGGCAAAACAAATTTCCTTAAACAAAGCAGTTAGAGTAACAGCAAAATGATAACATTTCAAGTGTTGCCAGATCAAATTAAATACAGATTATACAGGGGCTACCACCGAATAGACAAATATATTTTATTAACCTGTCTAATTACAAAAAGTTGTTGGATCCAGGCATACCATGAGGTTTGAGATTTTGCTCGCTGCCCACAGTAAATCAGTCAATCAATCTACTGGGAAGTCCAAAAGTGGACCGGTACAGCCCCTGGATCAAGCTCCCAGAAGCCTTTCAGATTGCCATGCTCCTCTGTTAGTTTGAATTCTGGGATTTGGTGGGAGAACCTGAGCAACTGTGCCTGGGGTACTCTCATGGTGATGGCTGATCCTTCAAATGTTTTGGCCTTGAACACTGAATTATATCCACTAACAATCTCCAAGACTAAAACTTCAATCCAGGAGGCATTTTCTTCAATAATTTCCACTATGTCATACTCCCAGTTTACCAGATCGGAGCATTTGATTTTAGGTGTCCATTTCCTGTATAAAGCCCAAATTTCACCTTTCCTAGGAAAGACAGAATATTCATTGCTCCTTCTGTCAAAATTGACGCGTACCTCATGCGAAAGGGAGAGGGTGTTAGTATAAACATTTGAATTCCCACTTCTACTTTTAAACCTGCCACAAGAGATAAGCATGTCTTTGTCTTCCCATCTAATAGTATTCTCTGGTAGCCAGCAGGAAGCAAGCCACATAATATGCAATTCAAGACCCGGCCTTGTTCTGATTTCTATAATCTGACCATAGTACCTTGGCAGGCCATCCTCATCACTATAGAATGCCCAAATCTGACCAACCTGAAACTTCTCTGGGGACTTCCCTTCGTCAAAATTGTAGAACTGAGGATCTGGAATTTCCATAGCATCTGGGGTTGAAGACGAAGGAGCAGTACAATCTTCGACATAGTTAACTGAACCATTCTTTGCCAAATTCCTTGTTCCAAAATTAGCCTGGAAAGCGGATAAATTTCCATCCGGTGCCATCATGGGCTTCAATCTATCTGAAGATCTTCTACTCACACCACTTGATGGGGAATGACCAACCTTCACCTCCAAATCATTGGGAACAGCAACTTCTTCAATATTCAAGGGCAAAGACGCAGGATCAAGTTCCCAAGATCCTACAGGAACACCTGCTCTTTCCTGACCAGTCATTTTAAAAGATGGAACCCTGTGAGAGAATCTGAATAACTGTGCTGATGGAATTTTAATTGGGTAGGCGCCTCCTTTCATAACTCTAGAGAAGAGACTCACAAAGCCCTTCAATTTAGCCAAGTATGCAATAAATACACCCTCACCTTCAACATAGTCAGTCAAGATTTCAACAAACTCAAATTCATAATTCTGATGAGATTCCACGTCCATGTACCATTTGATGTCCCAATTTTTAAAGAGAGCCCAGGTTTCACCCTTTCTAGGATAAACTTTAAAAGTGTTACTCCTAATTTTTTCACATAGAACTTGATGAGAGAACATGGGATGGTCTTCTGTTGTTTCAGAGTGCCTAAGCCCGTAGTTTCCACAAGCAACTGGCAATTGCTTGTTTACCCAATTAATTTCACCCTCTTCACTCGGCTCTGGTTCAAACCATGTTATTCGCAGCTTAAACCCAGAGGAGAAAACTTTTTTAATTAGAGCATAGAATCTAGGCATGCCATCATTTGTATCATAAACAGCCCAAACCTGCCCAGCCGCAAAACAATTTTTTGTCTTGTCCTTGTCAAAGTCATTAAACTCTGCATCAGGACAGACTATAATATTAGGCTGCTCTGTTACATTGCAGGCTGAACCTGGTATACAATGCTCACTATCTTCAGCAGCCAGCTTTGAACCTCCCACTGCTTTTCCCGATTCCTCCTTAGTTTCCTCCTTTTTATTCAGTGATATGTCTTCAGGATAAAGACCATGCTTCTGCTTCTGCTTTAACTCTTTCTTATGATATTCTAGATCATCAGCCAAACCGTTCTCCCTTTTCAATAAGTTTATGCTGTCATTGTCATCATCACTCACATTTTCCTTGTAGGAAACCTGCTGCTTGTTCCGTGCAGATCTACGAGGATTCTCTTCTCTAGTAGTGGCATTGTTTTGTTTACTAGTAATACCATCCTCTTCAGATATGATATCATCAGAGGCCATATCACTTTCACAATCAGAGCTGTGTATAGAATCAGAACTTTCGCTAACTTCCACTACCTGCTCCCTCCGTCGCTTTCCATTAAGCTTTCTAGAGGCATGGGAAGTGGGGACTTTCTTATCAAAAGGTTTCATATTGACATTTTTACCACGTGAATTACCTTGAGATCCAACATCCACCTTAAATGAGTGATGATTCAGACCATCTTTTGGCTGCACAAAAGATTGCGAACTTGAATAAGTTGGTGGAACTGTACCTTGCACACTAATGTCATATGCAACAAAGGGCCTGTTGCAACTTTGACAACGCAAAGATCTATTTAGAACTTCTAAGTAATACTGAAATCTAATAGAACAAAATGGGCAAACAGTCCAAAATGTAGAGGAGCCATCATTAAACCCCTGCTGAGTTGATGACTGCCTAGACTGATGCTGCTGAGGATTCAAGTTTGTGAAATTGGTCCTAATATGGTTTTGCGCCCCAGTATCAACATTCACAAAAATATTCCGTGTTGGACAATATGAAGTTCTGTTTCTGTCATGAGCAGCACGTTTCTGTCTGTCCAAAAGCACAGCCTGAGCTTCCCCTATCAGCTTAAATGCAGCTTCAGCACCAGCAAACTTGTTTTTATCAGGATGAAGTAGGAGAGCAAACTTCCTGTATTGCTTCCTTATCATTGCCTCATCAGCTGTCTGCTCTACTTGAAGAATTCCATACCAGTCCTTTTCATTAAAAAATTTCTTCTCGGCAGAGCAATGAACATCACAAACAATAAGCATCTGAGCCATATTCTCCAGATCAGGAAACAGTTGTTGAGCCTTAATAGCAATTTTACGGGCCCCAGTGAAATCTTTGCTTTCCATCTTTTTTTCTGCGACATTCTTGGCCCTTACGGCTTCTTCTCTATTGCAGTCCATAAAAAATGAAGATTCTGAAACCTCACTGTGAGTGCTCAGGCCAAGTGCAATGACAAAAGAGCTACTTTTAATTTGTAATTGCTCAGAGAAAAACTTGTCCAAATTGAAAAGCAGGGTGCACCTATACCTTAGCTCCCCACCACTCCCCCAAGATGTACAATGTTCACATTCAGATTGGGCATGCAGATTCAGTATAACCTGCAGCTATGACATCCTGCACTTGCCAAAATCATAAGAGAATGTAAATGCCAAAAGTATACATTGGATCCCTTCAGATTAATACATTAGCAACACAATTGCAAGAGAAATTATCGCAGAATTTGTAATGAACAACCCCTTCCCCTCTCCACTCTCCCTCCCCTTTAGGGAAAGGGATGGAGGGGAGACAGATCAGCACAAAAACCAAATCTCAACTGTTTTAAGCAATCAAAAAATCTAAATCATGAAATAAATGCATAGAAAACACAAGTGAAATCCACTACACAAAAAACAACACAAGGTGACAACCATTTAAAGTCTACATCATCAAGAAACATGCCCTGGAAGCTTATCTTGAATAGCTTGAGGTAGCAAACGTTTATAATCAATTGCCGGTTGCTATCAAACAGAATAATAACTTCATTTGCTATCCTCCCCATTGTCACTTTCAAATGATCTCACCGCAGTATACGATGTACCGCATTCGTTAACTGAACCGACAAAGAAATTATAAGCAGCGAATGACTATACAGTTATCAGAAATAGCCCCAATAAAACAAAATTCAAATTACAGGAGGAAAAGACAATCCAATCGGTTTTAATACCCAAATAAACGGCAGAAGAAAGAAAACACCAAAATTCACGAATCACTAAATCAGCATATTTCAAAAATAAGTAAACAAGTGCAATCCATCATCATAATGACGGAAGAGGCATAAGCCGAGAATTAATTCCCTCCTGTAGATGAAGGGGCTGCATTAGCACTATGAATTTACATATGGAGTAATCCTTTTTTTCCTTAAAAAACAATGTTAAACCCTAAAAACAGTGCAGCGATAAATCCCAAATAGATGAAGAGGTGAAGCGACTCTAGGAGCGCAACGGAGAAAGAAAAAAAATGAGTTGTACGGACCTGGTGGACAACGAAGGCGGGAAGAACGGCGCGCACATCGTAGACGGAGAGGGAATCCTGAGTGCTGCAAGTGACAGACAATATACCCTTTGACTTGATTGCAGAATTCGCCTCGCTTGATATTCATAGATTAGCAAAATATTAATTAATGGTAAGAGATAATAAAATTGTTAGTACTTGAAAATGTAAAGCCGGTAATAAATAGATATAAAATAATATAAACGATGGATCAGTTTAAATAAATCCAAAAAAATTTTAGAATTGGGTTTAGTATTTTAAGAAACCTCCTTAGATTGAGATAATTCAAGATTTGAACTTGGCTCGGATATTCGCATACTTAAAAAAAAAAAGGAGAGAATGACACTTAAATTTTAATGAAATTATTTTATTCCAACAAAGTTTCAACGAATTTCACAATGCAAATAAAGTCTTTTGAGTCCTTAATTAATTTTTTGACAAAATTTTAAGCTTATAATTTTGCAACTTATTTTTTGAAATTTACATGTCCTTCTATTTTGATTTGCAAATCGATGGACATGCAAAATTTTATTATTGAATTTTATAAAAAAAATTTAAGAATACAATTTGTTTTATAAAAAACACAAAATTTTAGTATCAAATTTTATAATATTAATTATTCAACTCTAAAAATTTGGAACTTATTCCTTATATTTGTAACTCTATTTATTATAATTTACTACTTTATATTTCAATTTTATTTATGAACATAACTTCATTGTTTTTTTTTTTCATGAAAACTTGTTCAATTCCAAGAATTCACAATCTATTTTATCTAATTTGCAATTCTATTTACCTTAGTTTATAACTTGAATTCCAAATTTTATTTAGAAATTCATAAATAAAATTTCTTAAATAAAATTAATATTGAGATTTTGTGTTCATTAATAAAATTGAGATATAAAGTTGCAAATCATGATAAATTAAGTTGCAAATACCAACAGATGACAAAAATATAACATTATAAATTCAAGGTTGAAATCTTGCATTTTTAAATAAAATTTAGAACTTGAGTTACAAATTAAGGTAAATGAAATTATAAATTATAGATAGTAAGTTGCAAACTCTTGAAATTAACTAAGTAATTTTCATGAGAAAGATAAATATTAATTTTATGTTCATAATAGGACACATAACTATAAATTATAATAAATGAAGTTGCAAATTCAATAGATTCTATTGCAAATTCTCGTAATTGAATAAATAATTTTATAAAGTTCATAGTTAAAACTTTGTGTTTTTATTAAAAAATTGTGTTCTTTAATTAAATTAGGAAATTGAGTTAGGAATTAAAATTGAAGAAGTTACAAATTTTAAAAAATAGATTGTAAATTTATACATTTAAAATTTTGTCAAAAGATCAAACAAAGATCAAGAGACCTTCTTTAGATTTTCAAATTTATTGAAATTTTATTGGAATAAAGTTCTTTTGAACTTAAGTGTCATTCTTCAAAAGAAAAAATTAAATGACTTAAGATATGTTTATTTTGAGAGAAGAGGAGAGGAGGGGAGAGATTTTATTCCCCTCACATTACCTGGTTTGTAAAAATAAGAAGGAGGAGAGTCTCCTCCAAGCCTTCCCTTCCAACATAAGGGGATGAGAAAGGAAGAGAGTTTAATTTTGTTATATTGGACTAATATGTCCTTTTATATTATTGTCATGTGCCCTCTTTTTAAATTGTATTTCTCCTTCTAACTTACATCATCATTTTTATTCCTTTCTTTTATTTTATTTTTGTCATGTTTTGTTATTCTTTTATTTTATGTTAATAAACTTCTTACTTGTTCGTACTTTTAATTCAAAAATTTTAAATATATTATTATCGAATATGTTATTGACAATACATATATATATATATATATATGAACTATAGATAATTATATGTTAAAAATATGCGTAACTATATTTTATCAAGAAAAAACAATTTTATTTATATAAGGATAAAATTATTTATATATATTTATTTTCTCTCTCCTCCTCTCCTAAACTAAATAAATAAAATATCATCTCTTCTCTCCATTAAAACCTCTCTACTTCTTTTCCCTCCAAATTGAGGAATTGGGAGGAAAAGGGCATAATTTTATTATATGACCAATATATCTCTTTTTTCAATTGTTATTTTTTATTTTTTAAACAAATTTAGCAATGATAAATTTTTAATAACATATTTAATAATGATAATTACTTCATATACTTATAATTATATGTTAAAAACATTTATAATTATAATTTATTAAAAAAAATTTAATAATATAAAAAAATTATTTATATATAATTATTTTTTCTTTCTTCCCTTTCCATCCAAACAAAACAAAGATAATATTAAAACTTTTCCCTCTTCTTAGCGAACACCCCTCCCAAAAAAACAAAAAAAAAAAAAAACCCAAACCAGTGAGCGCACGCTCGCGCAGCAAAACGACATCCCTTCCCTTCTCTGAATTTAATCGTTCTCTCCCTGCCGCGTCGCACGCCTCGCCAAAGCGGAAACCCTTCCCTTCTCGTCCGTCGCCTTCTGTCTGCTTCTCGTCCGTATCCGTATGCCGTCGCTTGCTTGGCTTCTTCAGCAACGGCGACCTTCTTCACTCTTCCATCTTCATGGGCCTTCTTCAGTTCTTCTTTCTTCGCTCTAACCTGGTTCAGATCTAAGTAAGCTCTTAATTTTTCCAGCTTCGTCCTTCTTCTTCAGCTCTTCTTTCTTCGCTCGACCTCAGGTCGAGATTCCAAACTCACCTCTACGAGCGGGGTCCTCTGCATTCCTGTAACTTGGGTCTTCGTTGTTTTAATTTTTAACTCTAATTTTTTCGATTTTATCTGCAGTTGAAATTGGAATGATGAATTTTGAATTTGTAACTAATTTTCTCAATTTTATCTGAAGTTATATTCGACTTTATCTACTGCTGAATTTGTTGGTTCATTTCGTGGCTCTTGTTCAACTTGTCTGATGCTCCTGTGGGTTTATTTCGTGCCCCTTGTTCAACTTCAACTCATGCTGCTGAAATTTTAATTTTTAACTCTATTAAAATCTGCTGCTGCTGAAATGTTTTCTTTTCACGTACTTAAGTGTAGTGGCTACTTGATTTTAATTAATTACGTTGTATATCCCATTACATCCTGTAAAAATTGACTTCTAGTAAAAAAGAAACATATTTAAATTGAAAGTTTTTCTAGTAGTAAAAATTTAGATGCTACTAGTAGTAAGATGCTTGATAATTTGCGAGCTAGTAAGGTGGTGGGTTTGCGTCTGCATCTCAGAAGAATAAAGAATAATCTGTTTAATATAAATGGCTAAATTTACTGTAAATCCTAGAACATCGTTATCTTTGAGGTCAGAAGTACGTGTTGTCCAAATTAAGCTTTTCTCATATTCTTTTCATGAAAATTCATCCAAAAATCATTTAACATGTAATTTATAAATCATGGTTCTTTGCATATGCTTGAATTTAGCACAAATAATAATATTTGGATATGTTTAAGGAAAGTAATTTCCTGGATGCATTAATGATTTTAACATGTGATACCAATAGTTGAAATTTTTTTCTTAACGGAACCTTGAGTTCTTACTGCCTGTTTAGATAGGACACAGAATCAATCTTTTGGGCCAAAATCGATTCTTGAATGAAAGTTATCCATGCAGCACAATTTTTTGGTAATCGATTATTCGCCCTAAATCACGTTTTGAAATAATCTTGTAAGGCAGCTTCAGGATCTAATTCTACCATTACAATATTAATTATTTGTTAGAGACTATCCCACCTGCCAATATTACGCTCATCTGTGTTATTATACGTAAATTCTCTCATAATTCATATTTATATTCCACGAACACTTCTGTTATATATATTTCAAGTAAATTACATTCTCCTATGCATATTAAGGAATTAAGTGCTGTAGTGCAAATTTATATTTTGAATGACTCTAACATCTTGTCTAGTTTATTTTTCCTTCGTCTCACTACAAATTGTGTGCGCGCGCGTTTTCTTTAGAAGTGTGCGGGCTGAATGCTGCAAAAGAGTAATTAGAAAGTATCACTTATCATTTCTTGTGGTCATGGAAAAGGGATGGAGCGAGGGTTATTATTAGTCAAGTCAATCTAGCTTCTCTCCGTTCCACTTCGTGAATGTGGAAAGAAGAGACGTTAAATGAATAGTAGCAAGTAGCATCCTTATGTTACACCTTAGTTTTTTGGATCTCTCCCATTTCTAGATGCTTCTGGTGTCCTATCAAGTGATGTTGTAGCCATGTTATATGGTGGTATTAGAGTTAGGATCAAGTGATGTGAAAGTTAGCATTTCTGTAATGACTTCAGACTAATTAGACTTCTTGTAATAATATATTCAAGTTCAAATCTAGAGTTACAATTGATTTTTATGCAGCACAATGGGTAATGATAAGTGAAAGCTTCATGGGACTTAAGAAATACTAGAATATTTATTGATATATGTTTAGAACAAGTGTGGAAATTGCAAAGAAATGGTGGTAGTTTTACCAAAACAGGATGTCAAAATATAATTTTTCGCTTCAATGATATGACTAGAAACAAGATATGGCAAGCAGTAATTTAAAAACAAATGGGATAATATGAGAAAAGAGTGGCTGTTTTGGGATAACTTTGTTTCAAATGAGATAGGCTTAGGATGGAATTATGCAAAGAATACAATGGATGTTCCAAGTGATTGATAGGAGAAAAATATATTGATATAATGTTGTTATGTGAGGTTATGTATTTATTCTATTTATTCATATATTCTGTAATATAATTGGTAATGTATGTGTAAGAAAATTCATTGTATGAAAAATTCAGAAATAAAGAACTACCTTTTGCTAATGAATTAACTCAATTGTTCAAAGGTACCATGGCCAATAGATCTAGAGCATTGGCACTTTCAAGTGGGGCATTGCTTAATATTTACAATAGGAATGAAGACAAAGATGATGATGTATATCCCCCAAGTATGACAAATGATGGTATTGATTTGGAAGAAGGTTCAGGAGATAATGATGAGATTTTAGGGACTACTGTTGGAGTAAACAATGAATTCAATAGAGTAGTTCTGAATACTTCTCAAAGAACCTTAAGTGAATGTAGTGATAAGAGGAAGAGGAGTGAAAGCAGTAGTAGTAGGAAAGAGAAAAAGGCACTTAGTACAAGTCAAATAGCAGATGCAATGAGTGTGATAGTTCAAACAAGAAAGGAAGAATCTCAAGTGGTCAAGGAAGCATCAATTCCTCAAGTCATGTCTCTAACAAAAAAAATGGAGGAAGTTGTAGTTGACAAACATTGGCTTTCTCGATGCATGTTACTCTTCATCTCTCGAGAGGCAAGGGTGATGTTTTTGACCATGAAGAATGATAGCGAGATTGTGTTGGAGTGGTTGAGATATGAGTGTTATAAAAATGGTTGATTATGAGGGGTTTTAAAACTTGTTATAAACATATTATCTTACTTAAAAATTAATCTGATATATTTGTATTATATTATTGAATTTGACTTATGTAACTATTTGAACTATTTATGTGCTTTTTATATATAATATTAAAGTATTTTAATGCTGTGGAAAAGTTATTGATATTTGCATAGTTAAATTATTTAAATATATTTATAATTAAAATTAAGTGCACATGTTATTTATATGTTTCGCTATAGGTAGGAAGGAGTATGGAAGGGTCATATAAGAAAAAGTTAGAGAGCTCAAAAAGTTAGTATGTGATTGGATTATATGCAGTAAAACATTTATGTAAAGAGCCATGTGGAAATAGTAAATATATAGGTTATTTGTGAGTGAATGAAATCTTAAAAGGACATCTAATTTGTCGTTATGAAATGTTTAGAATGGAATCATATGTGTTTCATCAATTATGCAATGAATTGATACTATATGGATTGAAGGATACTAGATGAATGAGAGTACAAGAAATAGTTACAATATTTTTAACCACAATTGAACATGAGTTGGGAAATAGAGTGGCACAAGAAAGATTTAAACACTTAGGAGGGACTATTCACAGACATTTTCATGTAGTTTTAATGGCTTGTTCTAAACTTGCAATTGAATATATCAAATGAATGGCAGTCCTTTTGTCACACATAAAAAAAATAGAAAATAATAATTGATATTGGTCATTTTTAAAAATACAATTGGAGCAATTAATGGTACATATATTTCATGTGTAATCCTAGCAAGTGAAAAATCAAAATATACTGAAAGAAAGGAATTCTCAATGCAAAATGTAATGACTATGTAATTGGGACATGTGTTTACTTTTGTCTTGGTTGGATGGGAGGGTATTACATTTTGAATGTGCTCTAATAACTCAGGTAATGAACTTTTCACATTTGCCTTTAGGTATATTTGTTGGTTTAATTTATTTATGTTAGACTTTTCAACTTGCAAATATTATTATTTGGTGGATAATAGCTATCCAACACTAAATGGATATCTTGGTCTGTACATACGGAAACGCTACTATCTTTTTGATTTTAAAAGATCTACTGGATTTGCAAATCATAATAAGATCTTTAATTATTTTCATTCAAGTTTACAACGCACAAGAGAAGGAACATTTGGAGTTTGGAAGAACATGTTTGCAATTTTATGCAATATGCCTAGATACAACTATAAAATACAAGTTTAAATCGTTGTTGTAACAATGCTAATACATAATTTCATTGGAAGATAATCTAATTTTGATTCTGATTTTATACTTCATGAAAGGGAAGATCAAATAGAGCATGATGATAAGAAATATTATCATGATGGATATTCATACTTATCATCATCCATAACATCTTCATTAGATATGGTTCATATCTGTGATGTTATTAGAGATCAACTTATATATTATCATTGTTTTTAGTTATTGTAAAATTGATGTTTAGTACGTAAGGATTATATCTTTCTCTTTTATTAAATTTATTTGAACTTAGATTTATTGAGTCATTTATTTACGTAAATTAAAATGTTAATGTTAATATAATTTAAATTTCTATAATTAATTAGATATATAAATTAAATAATATATTTTATGTTTTAAATAAAGTTTAATAAATTTAATAATATTTGATACAACTTTATCAACAATTTAATTTTAAAAAGTAATATTCTTTATGGTAATTTGTATAACTAAAATTAATTTTAATTAAATTATCTAAATATCTTCAATTTTATTAAAATTAATTTCAAAAAATAATATTTAAACAGATTGCATTATAACATAATTAATTATAATCAAAATCAATCATATTGATCAATTATTTTCATAATTAATTATATTTAATTGAAATTCAAATAAGCTCTTAATCTATACTATACATATTCTCTTCAAGTGCAAATCATGCTGCCAATTTTTTCAAACTCTAACTCCTCATCATGAGTCTACAAGATTTGTGATAAATTCAAAACATCAATTTTTTTGGAACTACTTGAAGAAACAAAGCTAAGTTGTGAACAAATGTTTTTCCTCCCTAAATTGTCCTATATTAGCAGACGCAAAAGGCTCTTTCTACCCTCCCCCTAAAATGGCCATTCCTTCAAAAGCTAATACATTAATAGGTAAAAAATTTTCAAAATCTAAGAAATTAGCAGGATTGACTTCTCATAACTAATATCCAATGACAAACTCAATGTGAACAAAATCAAGTAGTTAATGATGCACAGACTTGCATAAATTCAATATACTAAATCTATTTAAATACAAAGGTACAATTAGCATCACAATACATAACCCAATGTTAACTTACATAGTATCAAAATTAGTTCTAAATATGATAGAAAATTATTGTTTGAACATTTTATGAGAACTATGCATTGATAATCACACATCGCACTTAAGAGATACAAATTATGAGCACTCAAGCAACGAATACCTTGAGGCAATTCAATTCTACAACATCAAGTGCTGGCTTTTATTTAAAATCTAGAACTTGATAGGACATTGTACATGCTTCAAGAGCAAATTCATTAAAAAGGGAAAACAAAAATGTTTCGGATCCTATGTGTGTTTTTTTTAAATTACATTCTTATACTAGAGAAAGGATGCAAACAATGTGAGGAACTCAAACACATAATTTTCAAGCTCACTTCGCTCTACACTTTATATTGTCTATATTAGAAGCTAACAATCATTTTCTTCCAAAAAAAAATTGTGTAGAACCTTCTTAAATTTTGAGTCATCTACAAATGACTCTCTTAACATTTAAATTTGATGACAAATCTCTTGAACTTTTAAATTGGAAGATAAAGACCACAAGCAGCAAAGTTTTAAGTGCCATAAAAGTGAGTTTTCTGACTTTACCAAAAATGGGCAATGGATTTACCTTTTCTCTTCTTTAATGGGTAACAATTTTACATAACTTCAACAAATTAAGCATTGGTCTAAGCATTGCATAAGGAGTTAAGTAGACATTAAGCAACACAACTACTAAGTGAGATTGATTTTTTTTTTAATATTCAAAGACAAGAATTACCCTAAAAAAAGAGTACCACATAAATAAGGGCAACTACCCAACTGTGGGTTCAAGCAAAATATCAAAGTCTTCATTCTTGTTCTGTGCATCTTTTGCAAGAAAATGAACTACTTTCAAAATCTCTGACTTGAGTAACTAATGACCACTTCCCAATTTGAGAATATTAACTTTCTAGCTTCCACAATCTCTAGACTTGGATGGTGATCAAAGCTACCTCTAATATTTAGCAAATTAATTGCTTCAATTGAATCTATGTGACACATTACCTTGTCTATATGGTACTATTTGCATAGCATTAAGCTAGTATGAAGTGCTAAGATTTTAGTAGTAGTGGGAGGGAGAAACCCCAATCTTCTCTAAAATTCTGTTAGCCAATTTCCATTGCTATCTCAAAAAACTCCCTTACAAGTGGCGTGTTCTTGTTAGTCAACTGATCCATTAATGTCCAAACGTATAAAACCTATCTTAGGTGGACACCATCTCTCCTCTGCCTCTTCAAAATTTTGGAAAACCTTATGCTCAAGTTTCCCATTCTCTACTACCTCAGAGAGTTGATTCAAAATGCTATGATATAACTTTATAGCCTCGAATCAATTACCTTTCATGACACCTTTGCACCATAGGGTCTGACAAACTATATAGAAAGTGCCTAGCCACCTTGAAATTGAAATTAAGGTTGAACCCATATTTTGAGTGGGGTTAATCTTCAGCCAAACTTGTAAATTAGATGAGAAAAAATGGTAGAGAAATATGGGGTTAATGAAATAAAGTCACACTTGTTTAGCAACCTCACAATCACAAAGTATATGAAGTATGGATTCCTCGCTATTGCACTCAAATGGGCAATTTTCACTCATAAACAGGCCTCTTTTAAAACTAAGAGCGTTAGTAGGAAGTATGGAGAACTTGTCAAAAAAGTGTTTGGTTTTCTTATGGACAAGCTATCTCCAAAGCTTTCTCTATATAGGCATAGCAAACTGCTCTTTAAAATTATGTAAGAAAGAGTAAGTTGACCTAACACTAAAATTTCCATTAGAGGAAACATACCAGGTAAAATAGTCATCTTTAGACCTATTATAACACTTGACAAAATTGATTTTTTAATAATCCAATAAGGCAGAACAAGCATGCATTCATTACTCTTCCACTCACTATTACTATGCAGAAATTTGTCAATAGTAGTAAAGGGATTGACTAAATGTTTATTTTTAGGGAAAATCATTCTAAGGTCCCATAGAAGCACTTAAAATATGCTAAGGTCCCATGAATTCAAAAAATAGCTATCAGATCCCTGGGGACCTAAGGGTGAATAAGTTTGAAAGTGAAATTATCCATTTGCCCTCTATTTGAAATATGAAAAAATCAGTCCGCTTCCCACTAACCCACGAAACTGAAAACGACTCTCTCTTCCTCATTTTGCCAAGCTTTAGAGCTAACCGCCGACCACTATTCTCGCAGTTGCATTCCATTGAAGAAGACCGTCACGCAGTTAGAGAGTCAAAAACTTGAAGGAGTAAAGAATGAGGTAGCTCGCTCCTACTTCAGCGACTCATATTTGCCCTAATCACCATTATCGAACTGTCTCTGTCGTTCTCTCCTGCCGTCTCGCCACCACAAGTTCAACTACCATTGATTCTGCATTTTCTTCTCCCATTATTCCTTTCTTTGTTCTTTTATTATTTTGCTTGTATCTCGGTTGTGACTTTAATTTTTCACTTATCTCTGTTTTCGCGCATCTTCGCTTATCTTTGTTTTCACACATTACTGTAATTCTCCATCTCTATTTTTTTGCTCGTATCTTGGTTTTCTTCTCACTTAATTTTTACATGTGTGAAGTAATCTCCACACTAAGTTAAAATAAATGCCAGTCCCAATCTCCACATTACAGAGCCTTTGAAGCAAATGTGGTTGAAGATTATTGTATTTTCATAGTTTGAA